AGAAGTGGAATAAAGTAAAGGAACAAAGAATTGAATCTACTTCATCTGCTTCTCTTTAAATTAAAACCCTTCATTAAAGGATTCTAAAATAGTTTTTTTCTTTAACATTGGGCATTTTAGGAAGGTTTGACAGTCAATACAACATATTAATGTCTTCTACTTTTGGTAAATCGAGGTTGAACAACTTAATGAATACAACATATGTGGAGGTGTCCACAATCACCTCACCACCCCACCACACACACCCAGCTGTTAATATCTTCCCTGTGAAATGTTTGCGACTGTAATTGCTGCTCTGATTATATGTTGTGTGAACTTGAAGTACGTTATTATGTTGGGTGACTAATGGAATTTGGTGACAATGCACAGGAATTGGTGTTCTGGAAAAGAGTTGGTTTTTGAATTTTATTCTTTCCTGAGTTTGCAGTGCATTTCATGGCTCATCTACCTCACAGTGGGTTTGTGGCTGATGGATTGAAATCTTTCTGCTGAATAGTAAACATCAGAGATAATTTGGTCTTCCCTTTAACTTTTCTCATCACTCATTCAAAATATCAAAAATAAATCCTTGATTACTGTTAATTCACTTTCATCCGTACTGACAAAGGGAGAAGGCACATCTGTCAAAACTTCAGTGGATAAATGGGGAAGGGTTCCTCTGAGTGTGGTCTCCAAGCTTTGTAGGCGGGCATTGTGTGCCTTGGAAATAAAGGGGAATATTAGTTCATTCTTGTTTTACTGGTCAAGGTAGCCCGCAGGCCTTTGGACACTCCAACCCTCTTTCCATTGTTGGATGGGTTTAGAGGTGAGAGAGAACCAGTTTCCTTCTTTCACTTTTCTAAGGATGTCTCTAATGTTATTAAGTATAAAATAAAGGTTATCTAGTATAACATTTTCAGCAAACAAACTAATGTCAGTCATTGCTTAAATTTGTGAACAGAGACATTTGCTTGTATAGGGTGAAATTTAATGCTAAGAACACTTATTAGAATTGGTCTTGATGCCATCTGTCATTCAGTAGTTTTTCTTCAATTAAACTGAACTGAAGCCTAGATTATTAACCACTAGGCATGCGTTTGCATTCAGTAGGTAAATATTTTTATTTGACACTTTCCTGTATAAAGGAATGACAGTTGTAGATTCTTCCTAGAACGTACTATAACATATTAAGTAATGTATAATTTTATCAATCATAGTCACCTAAAAAGCCTTATAATAACAACCGCATGAATGAGTGTATATTAGAGCTTGTCAAAGTGTGTTCTATGGACCAGCAGCATCCACAGCACCTGAGAGCTTATGAGAGATGCAGAGTCTCAAGTCTATCCCAGTCCTGCTGAACCAGAAACAGATGGATGGCACCCAGCCAGTCTGTGTTTTAAGCTTTCCAGGTGACTCTAATGCAGGCTAAGGTTTGAGAGCCACTGAAAAGTGTTATCATACTCATTTTATAGATGATACAGTTGATGCTTGGTATGGGACAATGATTGGTTGAATACATAACCAGTTAATTTTAGGGCCCTTCTTCGAACCCATGGGGGGACCTTCCTACTTAAATGTCATGTGACCTCCCTCTCTTAAAGAAATGAGTAAAGGAATAGTGAATTCCATAAAGCCGGAAATCAGTATCTCTTCAATGAACCGAGAAAGGGACCATTTCACTGCTTTCTAGTAATGAAAGTGAGTTGTTCAAACTATTTACTTGAGAAAATTAACCTAGAAAAAGTTTTAATGACACAAACAATGTTTTTGTGGTCCTGTGCATTGGGTTCCACATTTCTTTTTATTGGAGGAGACAGAATGGGCTATCGTTAAACCCCAGAGGGGAGGCTATTGCATGTTAATAGAAGTGGGAGATACTATTTTAATCATTGCTTTCTACTCCAGTGAGTCCATGGACAGCTTTTCCACCTGGGTCTTTCCCATGCCACATTACCCACGTTAATAGTGCCCTGCGGTGGTTTTTCTGCACACACAATTTTACACGCAAGCGAAAGAAGTTTCTTAGTCGCTGTGGTATCGGAATGAATCCCCAGGGCAGCTGTTGTTAAGTACCTCTCTGTGACTTGGGGAATGAATGTTTCCTCTTGAGTTGAGAGTAGAAAACAGTGTTCATTATCTGTAATGTAAAAGTCTATATAATGACTCCTGCTAAGATCTAGTTCTTTGTGAACTCAATTTGGGTTTTGTGTGTATAAACAAATAAGTGAAATTTAAGTCTATTGTTTCCTCAACTGGGAGGAACTTCTTTGAAAAGAAAATGTGGCTATAAAATTAGGTGCATGTATTATGTGTGTGTGTCTGATTTCTATCCTGCATATATGTAAAACATCATGTAACATATATGGAAAACTGTACTACACATAAATGTCAGTGTCTTATGGATAAAGAGGACACACATGTAATGCCTACCGTGTCCAGAAGTGTTTGTGATAACTCTCCATGAACCCCTGTTGTGTATCTCGAGTGACTTGCAGTTTCCTGCACACAGTTCCTGCCTCTGTGCATTTGCACCTACTGTTTCCTCTTCCTATAACTCTCCTCCCCCTCAAAACCACAGAATTGTAAGGCTGGCAAACTGTTTCTCATCCTTGTGTATTAGCTGAAAAGATGTCATAGCCCACATCTGCAGTATACTTTGAAATGTCTCCTTTAGAGTATAATAATTGGCTTTGTGAAGGAGCTGCTCAAAACAGTTGTCTGTTTTCTATTTTGGTGTCATTCCTCTGTACCAAGCGTGTACCTGACATGTTGCAGCATTTGATAAATAATACTCCAGGGAATTGATGACTGGCATTTCCACTTGGATAAACCCCTCAAACCAACATCTCCAAAATGCATCATCATTTTGTCCATACTTCCAAGTCCCAGTTTGGAATATGGAAACCCTCGGGCTATCCATGTCTTCTGTCTTCCCTTTAGGCAATTCTTCCTCCATATTATGGTTCTCATCTGTCTTCCAGTTACCTACCTAATGAAGGTAGCTTCATTTGGTCTCCTGTCTCTCAAATGTCCACTTGGTTCTGGTTTTCTGGATGAAGCTTCTTCAAGCCTGGTTCTCTTCTTGTGTCTCTCCTTCCAACACAAGTTTTGATAGTCTTACTGTGGAGATAAGAAGCCCAGACCAGATATTCCAACTCCTCAAGTCTGAGGACTTTATTATGCATTTCCCTAAGTGAGGCATTGAGCCCTGCATTGATGCCATTCTTTTCTAGCACTCATGAGGTGACCTTCAGTATTGTGGATGGTATGGCCTTAGGGGAACTTTGGCACCAGTTGTTCTGTCCTGCAAGATCTTTGCTGGGTGGCTCCCTGTCACACCCCAGAGTTTGGGAGGATTTCCAGAGTCACACTTGGCAAGGAATGGGTCGAGGGATTTGCTAAAATGAGGAAAAGCAAACTTAGACAGCTAGGGTGAGGAAAAGAGAAGAAGGCACTGTTTCTTGACTGCCTTCACAGAGAAGGTATGCGGGAGCCAGGTGTTGTTGGACCTGCTGTGTGGTTGTTGTGCATCCCAGCAGACAGACTCTACCTCCCCCATGACTGTTATACTGTACTCATGAGATCAACCTTAGGTGCAAGAAATGAATCAGGCCATTTTGCATAGAACATTTGGAATTGGTGGCGGCTGTTTGAAGGAATTGTCTGAGAACCCCAGCTACGAGAACTTGGGGACATTAAGACCTATGAGAAATTACATCCACTCCTATCCAGAGAGTCTGAGTAGCTGAATAATGATGTAGTGCCTCCTACAAGGAGAAGGGGATAGGATGGCTGCATCCAACTCTTTTGTTATCAGCATGGGTTGGATGGATGGCTGGAGTCACTTTAAGATGACTGTTCGTTGCAGTACAGTTCCATCTCACTGATGTAGGGTCTACTGTATAACTCGGTGATGTGGGTGTCACAAACCTCATGGCTCAGTGTTCTAAGATGGACTCTCAGGGTTTCCATCCTTTTGCCTGTATCCCTTTCCGGTATCATCTCCCATGACTTTTCTTCATATGTTCTGTGCCCCAGGAATGGAACAATGAATGTTGCCCATGAGAATCCCTTCCCACAGTGCCATTACATCTTCCCTGTGCTCTTTCTTCCTCCTGGATGCCCCTCTATCCCTGTCCTCCTCCCTACCCGCAATGTTCTCCATCTCTAAACATCTAAAGGCTGTGAATACCTCAAGGCTCTGCCCAAAACTCTAGTCCTTTCTCATCTGGATTTGCCAATGTTATGCCTTCCAACTCCTCTTCTCCATGCTCAATGACTCTTCCAAGGACTTTTCTCTGGGACCCTGGGGGAACAACTTTCTTTTCTCTTTTGACCCCCATAGCAGTTAACTTTAAAGTTGGCATGAGCACATTCTCCCATGTCTTATGTATATACACTTCTTTACTCCCCTGTTTGATGGCAGGTCCATCCAGAGGCGCTATCATATTGTATGTATCTTGTATCCTAGAGTAACTTGCATTTTATAGGTGTTCAGTAATATATCATGAATAAATGAAAAGATCGGGGCATAAGATAGGTGTGCTAAAGGCTGGGGAGGGGGTAGGTAGGTGAGGCAGATTTATCTCTTTCCCTTGGCCAGGTGAGCTGATGGGAACCTCTTCCACCCCTCTTCCCCAAAACCCCATGCCATTCACATATCCTCACACTAAGACTGACTCTCAGGATTATTTTTTCAACTACAGGACAGGAAGGCCCAGTTCATCATGACTTAGGAATGGCTCATAGTATAGACTGGAGCCCCTAACCATGCCCATTATACTTTCAAAATGTCTTAGAACATACAGTAAACCGAACAGTTAGCAGTTAGCTATCTTGCTGTTTCCATTCCAATTCCACTGGTAAACGATGTGAGAGAAAAAAAATATCCTAACTGCAGAGAAATCTCCAGGCAGATCCCAAGAGAACATTATTTTTTAAAAAGTGATGTCAATGATATAAAACAAAGAAAAGAGATCTGTGTGGATGCTTAACAATTTCCCATTTTTGCCTTCCAGGAGACGGAGCTGTTAGATCTCAGCCTTGTCAAGGATGCCAGATGTGGGAAGCATGCCAAAGCTCCCAAGGTAGGAAGTGGAGCCTTGTGCCCACACCAGATGTTGCTTTGAGTGTTTCGCTGTGTCATGGTATCAATTAATTGCCCCAACTAAAAGTTTCTCTGTTGTCGATGTTGTAAAACACAATAAAACAGCCAGTCCTTCCAGAAGCCTCTATGCCTTAAACATTCCCACTTTTGTTAAAAGAAGGTAACAGGGAGTAAATATATAGGCAGTTGGACATGGGGGCTTGCTGTCTGTGCTCTAATTTTAGTTTTGTTTGAAAAATATATCACAATGCTAGAGATGCTGGGTAATTCTCAATAGTTAAGATGTGCTTGAAATTACTTGAAACCTTCCTTGAACCTCCTATTCATACATGAACTAACCTTTAGACATGATGAATAATTATAGTATAATTAGAATAATTAGAATTGTAGTTCTAATACTTTGCAACTGCCATAATTCCATCCATGAAGCCAAAGGCTCTGAAGTTCTTCTATAAATGTCACTAGTGAAGATCTGCAGAACTTTGGGATTGGATCGGTTGTGTGGCCCATCAATTCATTTTCGCTTGAAAAACTTACTGCAGACATATTCAAAGCAGTGTTTGCAGTTTATTTATTTTTTGAAGATTGTTTAAAAATGTTGAATAAAGAACATACATACATTTTTTTTAACTTAGATTCTCTGGTGGAGTCTAGTAACAGAGTGTGTTGACTTGTCATGAAAGTGGGAAACTACTCCTTATTGTATTTAAATCTTAGTATTCTAAATACTTCCTTTCTAGCAAAGATAATATTGTCAAATAGGGAAGTACAGGTGCCATTCAGGAACTCCTGCCTCTTACCATAATTGATATAAAACTAGCGATTTTCTATTTGAGTATCTGCCTGCAACTGTTGTTTTATTCTTTAAAAGTCAAAATACTTTCCTTGACATTAAAAATGATCTGTTGCTGTGGAGAGGCAGAAAGAGAAAAAAAATCACCTAGAATGATTATTCTTCAGATATGTAACAGTGCAATAGTTGTTGGCAAATTCTGCCATGGAAAAACACCCAAATACTGCCTTTACTGCTGTAGGAGTTAAGCCCATCGATAGGAAAATGTGAAAAATGAAAAGATAGAAAAATCCGAATTACTTCGCAAAGTTTTCTCTAAGTGTTTTCATGGGCAAAGTCTTTTATTTGCCTTCACCTCTTCGTAATATAATAGAATTGCAGTTGTTTGGTCTTTTAATTTTGCAGCAAGCTTGTCATTATTAATGCTTCACTGGTGATTCAGAATTGTTCAGTTTTTAGTGTGGGAAAGAAATTTTCTTCTTCTTTCCCCCAAAGCGTTCCAGCCAAGTTTCACGGGAGCCTGTTAGTTCCAAGAACTTTATTGATAGCATAGTCATAAAGTTTGCCTTTTTTAAAAAATTTTATTTATTTATTTGAGAGAGAGAGAATGAGAGAGAGAGAGCATGAGGGGGGGAGGGTCAGAGGGAGAAGCAGGTTCCCTGCCGAGCAGGGAGCCTGATGTGGGACTCGATCCCGGGACTCCAGGACCCTGACCTGAGCCGAAGGCAGTCGCTTAACCAACTGAGCTACCCAGGCGCCCTAAAGTTTGCCTTTTAATGCAAGTGTATTGACCTAACTTGAAATTTCATGATCAATATTGGTTAAAACTGCTGCCTACACGCTGTCAGACCCCCTTTGTCTGCAAGCATCAGAGGCCAAGTCAGCTCTGGGGCTTCTGTCTCTCTCCTTCATTGCAGGACCCAGCCTGCTTATCAGTTCAGTGTTTCATTTATGGATGCCATGGGATACATGTCTATTGAATGATGATAAAGGAACAGAACCAGGGTCTGTTCTGTGCTCAGCTGATAAACCACTATTAGATCCTAAAATACTTTTCTTAAGGACAGACGTGTGCACTCAGAATACTCTGGCTTTTACCGTTTTTGTTTTTGTTTTTTTCCACCAAAGATTGCTTTCTCTGTGGATTATCAATGTTCTTGGCTTTTTTCCTTTCCGTTCCTTGCTGGTGTTCAAGAACTTCAGTTGACTTTCGTATTTTAAAAAACTGGGTTCTGTTGCATCAGGCGTCCTCATGGGCAACATGGTGATCATAATAATGACAACAATAACAGTAATTATAATAATAATAATAATAAGAAGAAGAATGAATGGGCACTTCATATCATTGCCATAAGGACTGAATGAAAATTCATTAGCAAATCTTTAGCAGAGGAGTTCTCAAATTTGACTGCTGTGGAATCACCTGGAGAGCTTTAAAAACCGATGATGCCTGTTTCCTACCCCCAAAGATTCTAGTGTTCCAAGTGTAGTGTAGATTTTTGAAAAGGGCTTTTGAAAAGAAGATTTGCAGCAAAATCTGAGCACCGCTGCCTTAACTTATCACTGCTATTTAATAAGCACTTGCTAAATATTAGCCAGTGTTATTGGTGTTATTGTTATCTTTGTATTTATTATTATTAAAAATTTCCATCAGATTCACAGGAAGTCAGTTTTTAGTTCTCTTAATGTGGAAAAGTTTATGTTGTAAACAGAGATTGGGGGACGGGCTTGGCCAAAAGGGGCTTTGTGGTTTGACACGCACGAAAGAAGGTGATATTACTATCAGTTTAAAAGTCTTTCAGTTACAAAAGAAAATCCCAGCTCAAACTGGATAAATAAAAAAAAAATTATTAGAAATGATTGGAATGCAGGGCGCCTGGGTGGCTCAGTTGGTTAAGTGACTGCCTTCGGCTCAGGTCATGATCCTGGAGTCCCGGGATCGAGTCCCGCATCGGGCTCCCTGCTCGGCAGGGAGTCTGCTTCTCCCTCTGACCCTCCTCCCTCTCCTGCTCTCTGTCTCTCATTCTTTCTCTCTCAAATAAATAAATAAAATCTTAAAAAAAAAAAAAAAGAAATGATTGGAATGCATTGAAAATGCCAATGGAAGTGTAGGGTCCAGGTGAAGGCTCGTACACCTCCTCAAAAACTGTCACCAGGGAATATGTATTTCTTTCTCTTGCCAGTCTGGCTTCCAAGGTTCTGGAAGCGGTTTTTCTTCCATCCTCAGGATCCCATTTGTGGCCATCCTCTGCTTGCAGCTCCAGGCTTCCCCAAGTAGCAGCAGTTGGATAGGGGAATCAAAAGAGAGATCAGCTTCCTGAATATAACCACCTTGTAGAAGGAGGCGAATGGCCCCGGGGGCGGGGATGGGGTAGGGGTGGGGATAAGTAAGAGGAGACCATTGTGTTGGCTTGAATAAAAGCAGCAGGACCCAGAGCATAAGATTAAAAAGTGTCAAGATAATCACTATGGAGTGAGAGAAGCATGGAAACTCCGGATGGGTGGGCAATGTAACATGAAGACAGATTGAGTGGAAGACATTCTGGGGGCTTTATAGACCGTAAAGGAAGGAAGAACATGTGTGGAGCAGATATTATTTATCAAAATACTCAGGCACCCCCTGCAAATATTTATCTGTGTATTGGTATTATTTTTGTTTTTCACAGCATCTCATTACATAAAAATTCACGATCTAGCTGAAGATGAACTGTTTCCTATGCCTGCTGTGATTGGAAATAACATTTATAAGAAATGGAAGATCTTCTATGTGTTGCCCATTAACGAATTTTAAATGTCGACTCCCAACACAGTATATGAAATTCCAGATTGGCTTTTCTGTATGCAGCCTTTGTTCTAGTTATCAGTTTCAAAATTTCTCACTGGAGAGAAATTGGAAGATTTTTATCCACATGTAAAAAAGTAAAAGAGAAAAAAAATCTTATCCTTTGAAATCTAAAAGGTGTTTATGTTTCCTTCTTCGCTCTCTCTCTGCCTCCCTCCCAGGCTTATAAAGGGCACATAGAGGCAAAGTGCTATGGGATATGCATCTTGCATGTGCTAAGTACACATATTCTCTTGGTCTTCATTTCAAAATGAGCTTTACTTTTGGGCACCTGGGTGGCTCAGTTGGTTAAGCGACTGCCTTCGGCTCAGGTCATGATCCTGGAGTCCCGGGATCGAGTCCCGCATCGGGCTCCCTGCTCGGCAGGGAGCCTGCTTCTCTCTCTGACCCTCCCCCCTCTCATGCTCACTCTCTCTCTCTCATTCTCTCTCTCTCAAATAGGTAAATAGAATCTTTAAGAAAAAAATTTAAAAAAATGAGCTTTACTTTTAAAAAGAGGGTTTATCACTGTGGTTTCTGATCTATTAGTGGTAGTTCCTCACCCAAGCAGATCAATTTCGTGGCTCATGTACAGCATTAATAAAATGAAATAGATCTGACTAGAATGAAAAATATCAGCATCTTATGCAGAGCAAGTTGTTTTGTGAAACTTCTTTTGTGCATGTGAATGTATGTTCTGGATCCCAACATGAAGTGTATTTTTTTTACTATGGGCCACATCAGAAAGTTTTCAAAAAATGCTACTGAAAAGATAGTTTCTCAAATAATACATTATATGTTTAAAAAAAAAAAAAGAAGAAGATAGCAGGAAGGGAAAAATGAAGGGGGGGAAATCGGAGGGGGAGACGAACCATGAGAGACTTTGGACTCTGAGAAACAAACTGAGGGTTCTAGAGGGGAGGGGGGTGGGGGGATGGGTTAGCCTGGTGATGGGTATTAAAGAGGGCACATATTGAATGGAGCACTGGGTGTTATACGCAAACAATGAATCATGGAACACTACATCAAAAACTAATGATGTAATGTATGGTGATTAACATAATAAAATAAGAAAAAGAATAAACACACACACAAAAGACAGTTTCTTTATCCTCAGGATTCTTAGGGCATATTCCATCTGTAGGTGTACTGAAAAGTAGACGAAGATGTGGGTTTGGATGCCAGTTCTGCCAGTAACACGTTTTTGTCTGTCCCTCTACTTTCTCATCTATGAAATGGGGCCGGGGGGGGCACAGGATTTTAGGTGTGTAAGTTGGGTTAACCCTTGATTCCAATTTTTAAAATGAGAAGTTGTGGCACCTGGGTGGCTCAGTCGGTTAAGCATCCGACTCTTGGTTTCAGCTCA